AGGAAAAAAAAGATGAAAATTAAATTCCAGACATACAGTATCCAAGCTAATAGAGTTGTGGCAAAAAGAGAAATCCTGAAAGTGGATGGAAGGAAATTATCAAAGAAATGTCAGAATTCCCCCAGAGGTAAAGAATTCACGTCTTTAGGTTATAAAGGTTCACCAAGCATCTAGCATTCTGAAGGAAAGGAGACCATATTTATCTCACTTAGTGTGGAATTTCAGAAATACAAGGACAGAAAATTCTTAAAGTTTCCAGAAAGAAAATCCAGGTCACGTACCAAAAAGTGTATATCAGGCTAGCATCATCCAGCTCATCAGCAGTGCTGACTGCTAGAAGACAGTGGACGAATGGTGCCAACATTCTTGAGCAAGATTATTTTTATTCTAGAATTTGGTAGCAAGCCAAATTATACAAATGTGAAGACAAAATACATTTTCAGATGTGCAAGATCCAGAAAGTTTTCTTCCACATCACCTTTCTTAGGAAATTACAAGGGAGTAGTCTAAGAAAGAGAGAGACATGGGAAACTGAAAATAGTGGATTCAACCAGGAAAGCACTGAAGATATATCCCAAGGTAATATCTACGCAGCAAGGCCTAGAGAACAACGCATCCTGATGGGAGGGTAAGAGAGGGCTCTCAGAAGAATGGAACGTATGGTAAAAATCTAAGATTTAAAGTCCCCTTGGATTGTCCCACAAGTCACTGTTAGGGGCCCATATGAAAGGAAATTTAATATACTTCCTAGCCTGCGTTTGAGCAATATATTGTCATGAAAATGCTGCTGCTTATATAGGCTTTCAGCTTTTAGAATCAAGCTGTTGGGAGAGCATGAAGGATTTGGTTGTGGTTAAAGGAGAGAATGTTAATTTTCTTAATATTAATAACCTTAAATATTAATAAAAATAAGCTATTAGCAGGTGGGGGAAGTTTGAGGGAAAGAATGTATGGGCACTATTACCCTCCTTTTACAAAGTGAAGAGTTAGGATTCTGTCTAAAACTTATAGAAAAAAACAAGAAGTTTATGTGAAATTAATATAATTATCAAACAGTGGGGAGGAAGGTGATGGATGGAAGGGGCATAATATAAGTAAGTCCCGCATCTCTCTTATTTTTAAATCAATAGGTATTGTCTTAAAGTTAATAAACTAAGACATGATCAAAGTAAGTGCAGAAAGAATTAAAATTTTTTTAAAGCTTAGGTATGGGGGTGAGAAGAGACTTGCTTTTCACCATAAGCTATTCTACCACTATTTGATTTGTTACCCATGTGCATGTATTACTTTGACTTTAAAAACAAAAAATTTAGGGAACAGGAAATAACCCAAGTTGACAAGGCTGCGTGTAAGGGAATGTGGGGAAATAATACCAGAAAAGCAGGTTGAGACCATATTGTAGAAGGCCTCCAATGCCAAGGTAAAGCAGTGCATTTAATTTGGAAAAACTTGGAGGAGTTTTTGAGCAGTCTGGTCATGTAACTGGAGCTGTCTACTTTCAGAAAATGAATTTGTCAGGAGGATGGATTGGAGTGGCAGTGGCAGAAAGGGGCATTAGGAGTGACCAAGCTAGTTTCAGTTTCCTACAGGAAAGGTAATGAAGGATTACAGCAGGACGATGTTACTGGAAATAGAATGAAAGGTATTCCCAGAACCATGCTTGATACATAATAGGTGCTTAAGTGTGTTTATTGAATGAAGGGATCAAAGGGAGACTCTCCATTTTTTAGTAACTTTTTGACATGAAAGGAAGGATAGTCATCAAAGATGAAATCTTTCTTGAATAGTAACTGCTGTTTATTTTGAGATCCGTGGCCTGATTGTAGCTCACACTGTGAGAGTAAGGCTTGATGCTGTATGCCTGTGACAAAATGCAGAACGGTTATAATTCAGTAGTCCTTCCTTGCCTGTGTTGCATCTTTATTTGTGACCGACAATTGTAGTAGGTATTTGCTATGAAATATAAGATGAAGTAATGTTGCAGCCTAATAAATTACATCCCACTTAACCCAAGAAAGAAAAGTGGTAAAATGTATAGAACATTACAGGGTATAGTTCTTCACAGCGTCATGATATAAGGGTGTAAATAGCCATTAGATTTCAATTAGGCTCTTGAACAGTTCGTTTTTCCCACAGGAGGCACACTGGCACATGCTGGAATCCAACCCATGAACTTAGCCTCATGAATTCAAATCTGTTATCCATTAGTCTTCAAAGTTTGATGTGACAGCACTTTAGGGTACTGCAAAGAAAGAGGAGAACTTCTTTATAGTTTCATTTCCATGTATAATGTATATAATTTAGTAATACAAAAAGTATATAATTTATAAGTATATATATAATTTAGTAATACAAAAAGTATATATAAGCCAATAAGTGTACAAATATTGGGTATGTGCTATTTTTTTTAATTAATAATGGTGTACTACCAAAAGTTCAGAGACCACTTCACTAATCAGTTTAGCTAACTGACCGAAGAGATACAGACCAGTTACAAAGGCCAGGGGAATAAGTCTGTATGTTCCTGTCATTGATCTTGGATGGTGAACCACCAAGAGCCTCATGACAGTCTCAATGTGGTGTAATGCTAAGATCCTTGTTTTAGAAGTTGTTAGAAGTCAGAAAACCTGGAATTGGGCCCTAAGTCTGCCAGTTACTAGCTTGTGATCTTTACTTGATCTCTTTAAACTTCAGACTGTAGAATATTCAGACCACTTTACCTTTAAAATTCCTAATGGTGAATGGGGGAGTCTGTAGAGAGTTCTGAAATGTTTTTGCTTGCTTTGGGGTATACTCTGTGTTATCATTAGCCCTCTCTAATACTGATATGTAGTCAGAGATTTGCATGAAGCATAAATAGAAAAGGAGAAAAAACACCTAACCCGGGCTTGATACATGTTAGGTGTTTAATAAATATTTGCTGGATTTTAATCTGAATCTTTCTTACTTAATCAATCCCACATATACATTGTTCTTTGAAAGTTTTTTTTTTATTTTTATTTTTTTAAAGAATTTGGTAATTTGCTTCCTTTCTTTCCTAATGCGCCTAGGAACAGCTGTCACTCTCAAGCCCTTGTACACATTGGTCTCATTTGGAGAGAAGGGGTGCCCAGGAAGGAGTCAGCTAATGTTTGATTCTACCCTAATGCCTATTGCATAGGATCATTGTGAGAATTAAATGAGATAATACATATGGAATTACAAAATAAAAGACTAAACCATATTAGGGGATTGTTTTATTACTGTTGCCAAAGTTCCAAGAAAGTCCAAAATGATTAAGCTGCCTTAGTAGTAGAACATTCTACAAACTACAGCTTCTGTCTTACAGAGTAAATTGGTGGGCCTGGATTTCTTTTTTGTTCTCTTATAGGAGCTTTTTTCCCTTTTACTACTCATTTTCAAAAGCTACCACGTTAGGATATCCTTGGTATATCTTTTTTTTTTTTTTTTTTTTTTTT